CTGCCGCATTGCTTATCTTATCTACATGGGGTGTTTGGTACTGGTTTCTCCAACAAGGGGGTTGGGGCCCGCTGAGACCTCCTATTCCTTTCACCCAGATTCCCTCTGAAACAAATTAGCAAGACTGTACTTACTGCTCCTTTTATGTGTTCTGAAGGCCAGGCATGGTAGGTTCAGGATTCTAAAACAATAACAGAACCAGCTAAATGTCTTCTGGTTTTCATTATCACTATGAGTTGATAGACAATGTCAGTGATAAATTACTCCACCCTGTTACTTTCCATTACCTGTCTCCTTTCTCTGGCAGTGCCACTGTTATGTGATATTTCCTCTAGGAACCAAACTGGCAATTCTGTTCCTTGACATAGGTTCAACCCTCTTTATTGGCCTGGAGCTAAAAGGAAATGGGAGCTCTTCTTCAGGATAACAGCCATTCCCTTGTGATATAACTGACCCAAGAGAAGTTTCTGAAAGACATTTTTTGTGAGAGAAGTTAGTTCCCCTAGACAGGGGAGGTTCAAAGGCTCTTGGAATTTCAACACTGCCCTTCTCTGACTGTGTTAGTTACTTTTTGTCTCTGTGACAAAAAATACCTACGAGAACAACTTAAGGGAAAGGGATTTATTTTGGCTCAGGGTTTCAGAAGTTTCAGTCCATGGTTCTTGGCTACATTGCCCATGGTGAGACAGAACATCATGGCGGTAGGAGTGTGTGGTAGAGGAGAGCTGTTCACCTCATGGCACACAGGAAGCAGACAGACAGGAAGTACATTGCCAATAGAATTTGCCTTATGCTTAATACTTTAACAAATTCTGTAATATATTTATGTTTTTGATCCATTGTGTAACAATAAAATTATAATGCTATTTTGATCATGGAGATTTTTTTTTTCCGCAGTGCTGGGATTGAACCCAGGGCCTTGCACACACTAGTCAAGTGCTTTACTACATGAGCTATGCCCCCAGACCAAAATATTTGTTTTATTTATTTTTGTTGTAAAATTTTTATTAGGGTATATTCATTATACAGGGGGAGATTCTTAGTGACAATTTTGATTAGGCTTATATTGTGCATGTTAGACCACCCCATCATTTCTCTCCCTCAATCCCTTCCCCACCCCACTTAAAGCAATTGCAAGGGGTTTCTTTGTTCTATTTCAAAAATATTTGTTTTAAAATATAATTTTAGGGGGGAGAAATGACCCAAGCCTTGTATGCACATATGAATAATAAAAAAATAAATAAAATATAATTTTTAAATATTTTACTTAAATATTCAAATATTTTTAAAACATTTTTAAAATTTTGCAGAAGTTTAAAAAACACTGAGGAATTTTAGAGTCACAGAATTGAAAATTATTTTTTAATTTAACATAAGTACAGGTTGAAAGGAAGTATGACAGGTGATGAAGAAAATGTTCTTGAGGTTACTTGAGACTGAACCCATTGCCTCCCAGTTGCTAGGCAAGCACTTGACCACTACAGCCATAGTCCCAGCCCTTTTGGCTTTAAGTTTGTCACTGAGTAAGGGTCTCACTAACTTCTGCCTGGTCTGTCCTTGAACCACGATCCTCCTGTCTCTGCCTCCCAAGTAGCTGGGATTACAGGTATGTACCACCATGCCAGGTGAACATTACTGTCAAGATAAAAACTTAAATTAGGGTAGATTTCTATTAAGTGCAATGGAAAAAACTCAGAAAAATGAACCAGAGAAAATGTTTAGGTGTTCACAAATAGTTGATATATTTAAAAAATCTGATAGTAATTTCACATCACTATTATTTTTAAATTCCTTTTATATATTTAAGAGATATAATGATTTGAAAATGTGAATACTTACAATCTGCCAGCATTAAAGTCAGGACAAAAGTTTTGGATGTCAACACAAAAGTATGTGAAAGTATATATGCCTGGGAAAAAAGTGTGAAGAGCACAGGAAGAGGAGCTAGATGTACAGTTTTTTGTTTGTTATGGTTTTTAGGGGTGCTGGCTATCAAATCAAGGGCCTCCCCTGTAGTGTTCTACTACTGGGCTACATTTCAGCCCTGCTAGAGAGTCACATTCTGAAATGTTATATCCTGCTCACATCTGGAATTTCTGTCTCTTTCACATAGACAATGTTTTGAGGGGTACAGGTCAATTTAGGACTAAAAGAAGAATCCAGATATCCTAGAAGATTGGTGCCAAAGGTTATTGTTATATAGCTACACTATGCACTTAAAAACTCTTGTTAGCTGAGTGTGGTGGTGCATGTCTATAATCCCAGCTACTCAGGAGGCAGAGGTAGGAGGATCCCAGGTAGAGGCTGGCCAAAGCAAAAGTGGGAGACCCTATCTGAAAAAATAATAATAAAAGCAAAAGAAACTAGGGTGTGGCTCAAGTGGTACAGTCCTTATCTAGAAAGCTGAAGGCCCTGAGTTCAATTCTCAGTCCTACCACACCCCCACAAGACAATCTTGTTAACTGTTGATGCAGAACATCATTTTGATGGGAAATGTGTTTGAAAGTCCAAACAAGACACTGAAGACACTTAAAAAAGAAACACACAGGACAGTTAGGTTTGGGTTTTTTTTGTCTTTTCTTTTTGGTGCTGGGATTGAACCCAGGACCTTGCACATGCTACGCACTCAACCACTGGACAGACTGAAATATTTATATACACAGAGTTAAAAGTACAATTTTTGCTGGGTGTGGCTGTGTATGCTTTAAATCCCAGTTATTCTGAGGCTGTCAGAAGGCTTGTGAGTTTAAGTCCAGGCCTGGGGCACAAGCCAGACCCTTTCTCAAAACTGAAAAAAAAGCCAGGGTTGGGGGTGTAGGCAAAGATCGGGAGGATCTCTGTTTGAGGCCAGGGTAAACAAAAAGTTTGGGAGACCTCATCTCAAACAATAAAGCTGGGTGTGGTGTTGTGTATCTGTCATCCCAGCTTTGGGATCGCAGGGATTGTGAATAGAAGGATCGTGGTTCCAGGCCAGCGAAGGCAAATATGCAAGACCTTATTAGAAAAATAACTCAAGTAAAATGGGTTAGGCTTAAGTGGTAGAGTATCAGTAAATTCAAGACCCTGAGTTCAAATCCCAGTGCC